TAGATGTGGAGCCATACACAGCAACAGGCAGAACACGCATGAGTCTAAATGAGATGAGCCAAGCATCATCAGCCTCAAAACAAAAGTAAAGACCTTCACATGAATTTGCACTACACATTTTGCTGACTTGAGTTTCCTTATTATGTCATTTTGTTTAATTTTGTTTTTCATACATGCGATGATAAACAAATGGGGAAAAATAAGGTCATATTTGGGTTTTTTCTACTTCTCCTATTCAACTGCCAGCCTGTCAGCCTTGCACTACGCTGTGATGTAATGGAGATGTCGTTGTTGTCTGCGGTTTCCGTGTGTGACACTTATCATTAGACTTGCACTTACTGTTGGTTTGCACTCGGAGTGACCTCCTGCATTTCCTTTGATTGGGCTATATTTGTCACACACGACTCAACTTGGTTACTGGAAGCCAGGGCTTACAGTTTGAACAGCGGATTGGTCATATAGACGAAGGGTTTATCCTGTAATTAAGAAGAAGCAATGCGTCTGTGTACATAATAAAATGTGAAACTGTGACTGGTAAATACTAGTTGGTGACAGGCACTAAAATCTATTAACTCACTTTTGTCCACTTGTCTGTATTTGCATATTTCCCAACCAGGGCTATCTTATTTGTTCACTGACTGGTAATTCGCCTCACATGTGTTCATCACTTGCTGTTGCAAACAGGCCTGCTGTCAAGTCCTTTACATACGGGGGAATATGATGCCGCCACGAGTCATTTGTTGTTGACAGTTCCATGCTGTCTACTCTGCAGAGCTTCCAGCACTGTGAGTGTTTTTTTTTGTGAGCTTATGCTGTGTATTTGCATACCCAGTAGGTCACATTTCCATAATATTCCCCCCTGTTTCTTTTCCAAGCATTGATTATGCAAGAATGGGCTGCCATCAGTCAGGATGTGGCCCAGAAGTTAATTGTCAGCATGCCAGGGCGAATTGCAGAGGTCTTGAAAAAGAAGGGTCAATGCTGCAAATATTGACTCTTTGCATAAACTTAATGCAATTATCAATAAAAGCCTTTGACACTTATGAAATACTTGTAGTTATACTTTAGTATACCATAGTAACATCGGACAAAAATATCTAAAAACACTGAAGCAGCAAACTTTGTGAAAACCAATACTTGTGTCATTCTCAAAACTTTTGGCCAAGGCTGTATAGTGCTCTCTCTGCAGCATACAGAGCTCTTGTGTGGCCTAACTTGACTAACCAGACTTAGAATTTGATGGGAATGTTGTTTACTGCTCGATTTTATATAAAGCCATCTTTTGTTCAGTGTGACGGGAGCTGTTGTTTAATGGCGGCAAAATGAATGCCATCCTGATTTAAAGGTAGACTTTTATAAGCTCCCGTAGACGCTGTGTTAGCAGGACCGTGATCTGTGGATGGCCTTGGTCCTGCTCGGACCACACTTCCTGTTGACATAACCCAAGGCTTTTGCCACCATAGTTTTGAAATCTGACAACAGTCTCCGTTAAACACCAGCCCTCTGTGGTGATTTCCATCAAAGCTTTTATTTCTGCAGGGAGAGCTGACAGAGCAACAATCAGCTAAACATTCACATGGTAGGTTTCCAGCACAAATAACGTTGTGCTTCTTTCGGATGAGCGTCAGCCAATAGGAGCTGGATTAGAGTGTAAGATAAATGCCTGACATTTTAAATGGTAGCCTGCTTCTATAGCAGAAATATGGAGATAGAATGCTCGTAACTATCAAGAGACGGATCTTCTCCGTTGACATGGAACCGGGAGACTGATTTGTGAAATTGTAAGTTGTAAATCATGTGCTATTACTCTGCCATCATCGTCTGTACTATCACAGAATAAAGTCAGTCTCTCATCCAGTGTTTTTTTTTTTTTTTTTCATGGTGTACTTTTTTAAAGAAATTGTGTCCAAACAAATAACATCTACAGGTAGCGAAGAGAAGCACATTGCATAATGAGCTGTTGTGATCAAACTCCGCTGCAAAAGAGACAATATGACAAGCAGAGACTCGAATGAACTACACAAACTCCAGCATACCTTTCAAAGGAAACACATTTGTAATTGTCAAAGTTACCGTTTTATTATCTATAATTTAAACCTTCCTTTTCTCCGTACTTTGGTTTCACCTCTATGTGAGTGTAGCAGGAATCTTTTCTTCACTGCTGTCTCAGCGAGCTGGAAGAGACGGCGCTGAATTGTTTTCCAACACCTTTGAGAAGTCCATAACGAGACCCGGGTGGTTCAGAGCAAAGACGCAGACTTGCCACAGGATTTCTTTTGCCGTCTCTTTGCAGTTATGTTTTGTGTTAAACAGAGCAGCACGTAGCTCCAGGAGTCTGGAAGCTGGTGTAGAATGGAAAACAAAGCATTGCTTTATTCTCAAAAGTATAATGAATATGCAGGGATTTGTCTACAAGGCACAGTGCAGTGAAATATTAATGCGGTGTAACGAGATGATTAGTAGATGAGCAACAAGACCCCAAAGTCACTCTTATCACTTTCATCTGGATTCATCAAAGCGGCTCCGGTGCAGCAGCAGACGTGTGGAGCACAAAGAGTCAGACGCACCGTTTAAGTAGAACACGACACCAGTTCTAATGAAAATGGCGCGCAGGACACAAGCGGTAATAATATTACTGTCATCCGGCAGCGCCACAGAAGGCTGCTGTTACATCACCGTGTGTTGCCATGGCGCTGCCAGCAGCAGCCCCTGTTGCACAGTGACAGAAAATGAGGAGGAGAGGAGAAGGAAGCGATGCATCTGGTAGGTTTAGTGTCGAGCGCTCGGCCAGTCCTCGATCGAAGCCAAGAGAAACATCATGGTGGGGTTTCAAATAAGTACGGAAGCTTAGGTTTAGGAACACGTCATGGTTGGGCTTAGAATAAGTACGTAAACTTAGGTTTAGTCAACAAATGAGAACGCTATTAGTTTTGGCAACAGAAAAAAAAAATGCATTGCTCCGCAGGGCAACGTCAACGGGCAACGCTTTGTATTCAATCCAAGCCAATCCAATCGATGCAAAACAAACACACACACACACTAGGTAAAGTACCTTGCACCATTGCTAATGCTATGGTTTACATGGCAGGCATTAAGACAGAGTAGCAAGTCATCGCTGCTGTAATAACTTTCCAGAGATGTAAAATCCTGTTTAAAGGGCTATAAACTGTTGTGCAGTGTCTTGGTGTCTGATAAGCCTGGACTTCCTGGTTTTGTATTTTATCTTCTGACCAGTAACTGTAGCAACACGCCCAAAAAGCACCTTGCTTTCTTCTTTTTTTGGAGCAGTGCCATTGTTGATCTCAACACATACACTACATAGATATGCAGCAAGGACGACGTTCCACAATGCAGTAGCATAACAGCTGGCGGTGGAGTATCCACGCCTTCTTTCTCAGCGTCAAAACATGGATGGTATCACAATGAATTATTATTTTCAGCATGGGCGTTGCAACCATATTGTTCTCCGTGTGAAAGTGTACACAGTGGCGTCGCTCTACAGTCCGCCAAAGACAATTGAATTGAAGCAGAACTCTTTTCACTCGCAGCCTTTACTGAGCACCACTTGAGCAGTGTGATGCCGAAGCTCTTGAATAGCTTGCAGGCATTCCTCAGCGCTGGAGAAAGATAAGAATAGCGCTCGCCCTCTCTTACTCTCTCTCTCTCCGCTATTGGCTCGGTGGCATGGCCGCTGGCTGGCAAGCCGCGCCGCTCGTTTCCAGCAGTGCTGCTCTAACAACGTTAAAGTACGACAAAGGGAAAAGAAGCGGGTGCCCTCTGGGCGCAGCGGAGCAGCTCGGCCTCGGATATATTTGGCTCCGTCAGTGTGCACATACAGATCTGCAGCGGTCTGCAATTAGGCAGTTTCCTGTTTGAGCGCGGGACACGGCGGCGCTGTGAAGCTCGGCCATAGATGCTCTCAGGGGGCATGCTTGCCAGGCCGTCTGAAGGAGATGCATCATTCTCATTGCTCCTAAATGACAGCTGCTTCGCATGTGGGAGAGCAACGGGCTCGCTCAGTGGACAAAATGTTACTTTCCATGAAACGGACTTTATTTATTGCGTCAGAAGTGCAGGGGAAATCAAAGAGAAGGGAGATGTTAAAGAACACATTTTTAGCCGGGATCATTGAGTTATGAATTATACTCCAGTTGTTGACAAGTTGGCCAGAGTACCCACACTCACTCTGGACAACTAAAGGCTCCTCCCTAGTCCCTACCTCGTACAAAGCACTGGAAAATATGCGTCAGCCACTTCCTCCCTCTCTCTCGCCTCCCTCCCAGTTTTCAGCTTCCTGTTCTCTCGGCTGGTCGGATGTGAGAAGCTTTGAATGGAAGCAGTCTGCTGTGGGGGGCCATATTCAGTTAATGTTTCACCATTAAACAGCTGATTTACCACCTTTTTAAGGTCCGTGTGGCAGTTAAGAGATGTAAAAATACACACTTTGGAATCACCGATATTGAGTATTGTATATTCATATCTGTCTTACATTTGGTTAGTGTTAGAAAACCCTATTGAGTTTGTTGTGCTATAAAATGTATTTATCTTGTGATTTGTACATTCATTCTTATTGAACTACAATCATAAAAACGTGTATGACATTTGTACCACGGTGGGATTTGTTTTTACAGTTGCCGCAACACATCTCTTAACAGTTTTCATGTGCAATGTGTGTTTACATTTGCACATTTAAGGCTTATTTAACGCATTTGCACCACTGGCTTTCCTAAACTGAAGGACAGTAACTTTATTATGTCGGCAGTTCATACTTGACTGGGAAGCCGGCTGTTGTTGTTTAGTTTTGCTTCAGTTTTGACTTGCATTCTGTGGAAATGTCCATATACACTTATCAACATATTCAAATATGGACCATTGTCATCGGAGGTCTTTTGATTCTAAAACAATATCCACAAGACGGAATACATCTTACATTTATCCTCTGAAATAAACCGATTGTTGGTTGTATTTCTAATGCTTTGCTTTTTAAAAATGTTTTACAGCTCTGATGGTACTAGCTGAACAGTGACCGCTACCTGCCCGAGGACACCTGCTGCCCAATTCCCTTCATCATGTCTGGGATGCACGTAAGTGAATGTTTTTTTTTTTCCCCACAATTACCTACCCAGTGTACCAGTTTACAGGTAGGCAAACGCTTTCTAAACACGACCTGCTCTACATTTCATAAAACTACACGCATCTAAACAAGCAGTAGCTAACAGTCCATATTAACAAGGAAGTAAGACATTAAAAGGTAAAGGACGTAGCTGCGACTAATGATCATTAACCATTACTAGTTAATCGGCTAATTATTTTTACGATAAATTACTCCTTCTATGAAATGAGGTAAAAAAGAAAAACTTTCAATGTGACTTCTTTAAATGACTTGTTTTGTCAAACCAGCATTTCAAAATCAAAAGTTATTCAGTTTTGCTTCAATCAATACAATATCAAACTGTTAACTTCACTTGTTGTTACAGCAGTATGTGGAAGGAATTTGGCACTTTTACATCATTAGTTTTTTTTTTTTAAGAAAACACCAAGCACCACAGATACCGAGAGGATTTGGAGGGAATGAAATATGCACCTTGTTATGTATTGTTGTTATTCAAAATATGTACTTTTTGGTCATACCTTCCTGTCACGTGTGTCCGTTTCCCTGAGACGACTCGACTCAATAAAGATTAACGAGCTGGCACACACACCAATGTGAGCATGAGGTGCTGACAGAAACCCGTATCTGTAGCGGTGCATGAATGCACATAGCTGCTGAGCGCGCGTCCATCAAAGTGCCCGGCTCAGTGTTTAGTGGTCTCACATTACCTGACCGTCGCAGTGGTTTAACTAATGCTACACAAGTGCTAGCTTCCGATCACTTTCTCTCCTGCTTCCTGCCTTCAGATGTCCTTATTGATCCCGGTCGTTTTTGATCTGACACAACGCTCCACTACAGTCGGGGAAAGATTTTTCAGAAAGGACAACGCTGGATTAATTTCTACTACTAGACTTCTGAAGATTCCATCATGTTTTTGGTAGTAAATGCTAATTGCAACTAATAATAATGGATGTTGTAATGCCACAATCAATAATCATGTCAGAATATTTCGGCCTTGAGACCCTGACGGTAAACTCTGTGGTTCATAGCACCATTGATGCATTATGGATTCAGTGCGACTCTGGCTTAAAGAATGGCAGCGCGTTTCGAGAACTAGATCAAGAGGTCACAGAATGTATTGGACCCAGACTGTTTTGAGGAGCAGCACTGTGACCTGTGCTGGTCACAGAACTGTGAAGATTCAGTAAGTGTAATAAACCAAACTGACTCGTGGGAAAATCAGGAGGTGAACTAGAGTTGGATGTCAAGTATTGATGAAGCACTACATTACAGTCATTTAGCAGATGCTTTAATCCAAAGCGACTTACAATTCAGCTTCTATGACATTCATACACCGTAGGCACAGCTACGGGAGCAATTTTGGGGTTAAGTGTCTTGCTCAAGGACACCACGACATGCGACTAGCGGAGCCGGGGATCGAACCGCCGACCCTGTGATTGAAAGACGGCCCTCCGCTTAGACACAGTCGCCACTATATATGGTTGACCTTCAAATATGTCTGACTATGCTGGGGGAAGATGCTAATATAAATATGCCATTAACAAATTTTTTGTCAAAACTGAAAAAATAAAGTGGAAGCAACGGGTAAGCCTATGTTTGATACAAAATATGTGAATGCAACTTCAGGTGAGATGCAGCCTGTGGTTTTCTTCCCTAGTTGCTTTGTGCACTCGGCTACACTTTAAATGACTAAAGATCCTCAAGGAAATATCCCCAGCAACACAATCTGTCCAGTAAAACCAGTTTTCATAAAGTCCTTTTTTTGGAAGTTAATAACAGCTGAGAATTCAAGGGTGATTCTGTATCTACATAACTGTGCAGTCGCAGCCATCGCCAGTGGTCCAGACTCATCACGCGGTATTGAGCGAGAGCGCTTCGGACACACTCGGCTGTACCGTGCGTTGTCAGGAATAAAGCAGCTCGTTCGAGGACTCGCACCTGCTGCTTTGTACTCCTTTTTTCTCGTTTCATCTCATCCTCTCTATCGCGGTATGTTTTTGATCACACCCGCCGTGCCGATGTAACAGGCGCAAACTGAATGCACAAAGCATCCTCAGCCCAGCTGTCATTTCCATTTGTCTTTTAGGCATGCCGCTGCCACGTTTACATTATTCAGAGTGACTGACAATGAGCGCAGCTGGCCTTTTTCAAGACAGAAAAGCTAATTCGGAGGCAGCGACTGTGATGTAATGACTTTGTATAAGATGAGCCAGAGAACAGGAGATGTCCCTCACATACGGCACAGATTAATCTAGTCTTCAAAAGTAAGATGCTGCTAACCCACACAGGGGTTTTGAGTTTTTTTAGACCTCTGCTCTGTTGTGTGGAGCCACACAAGAAATTACCTGAGCTCACAAAACTCAACACACCGACAAGATGAATGAAGGTGGAAGTTGTCCCGCTTGTGCACGTAGCATTATGAGTTCTGATGAGGGTTCAGTAAAAACACTGAAGACTGTCCCAGCTGAATATTCCTACTAAGCTGTTTAGTAAATGGTAAAAGTAAAATTAGTAAATGGCTAATAAGAAAGAATATTCCTGTTTACATACAGCCGTGCATATTCCGAATAACGTAAAACCACCTTCTTAAAAGGGTCGGCATTGCAATATTTGCGCATATCCATAAAACTGTTGATATCCAAGTCCTTCACACTGCTTAAAAGTAGGAGTGTTTCTTCTTCCGACCAGAAATGTAGGCTTTTCTTATGGGCATGCATCTCTACTTCAACTTTTCGAAGGCGCTGTATATGTCCAAAGAATGGTCCTAAAACCTGAATAATATCGGCATATCCCAGATGTCTTAATCGGAAAATGCTCCATTCGGAATAAGACCTAATTCTGAATATCCAACCGGAGTATGATGTTTAGATGAGCCATATTAAATTCAGAATATTGTGATTTTCTGAATAATAGTGGAATGAGTGTGCATGTAAACGTAGTCATTGACCTTGGACAGGTCAGCAATAGGAATGAGTCCAACTTCACAACAAATGAAACTTCATGTGGGCGGATGGTTTGTTCCAACAGTTTAGTGTATTTAGCCCACTGCAGTAACGATAGCGAGCTGATGAGAAGGCCACAGTTAGCTATATTGATAGCAGACTGACAGCCACTGAGCAAAAACGAGATGCTTCTAATTCCTGTAAGCTGTGGACTGTAGATAACGAAAGTGAAATGAAAGTTTATTTCCCTAAAGAAACAAGTTAAACTACACCAGAAAGCTGAAACACATTTTGTTTGTCGATACATATTTTCCCCTCACATACCTAAAGATGATACTAAGGCAGAGTTCAGTATCTGCGTTTTTTTTTTTACTGGTATTATGCATAGACTGTATATAAGAAGTGGACAAAGTTGACGTGACTTCGCCCATTGGTTTGTGGACTGTAGTTTTGAAGCCCTGAGTTTGCCACTGAACGGAAGTGGCCATTTTTGGACTGCCGGGGAGCGACGTACAGACGCCCTGAAGCATACCCTGCTTTATGGTCTGTTTGACTCTAAATGGGACTGTAATTTGCTAAATACACATCATGCTGTATTGAAGAAGACTTAAAACTAGAGATTGCGACCATAAACTCATGTTCACAATGTTTACTGCAACCAGAGTCGCCGCCCCCTGCTGGCCATTAGAACGAATGCAGGTTTAAAACACTTGCACATTGATTTCACTTGACAGACCCAGAGGTTGCCACCTTCCTATTGCAATGTAAAATAATCAGCCTAAAAACACATGCATTGAGGGTATTCCAACCAGTCTGTTGGTTTCACAGTTTCCCGTGCAGCCTGACAACTTTTTTCCCCTTCTTCATCTCAACTTCGCTGCGTCTGTAGCTCCTGCTCGCTGCAGGGCAGTGCAGTCTCCTCAACCTTTTGTCAAGATTCACACAACCACCTCGGGTTATATTCATCTCTCTAATCCGTGAAGTGGGTGGTGTTAGCATGCCTATGCACAGAGATTGATTATTGCCGGGGATCTGTGCATGCACTCGATTTTAATCTTAAAATACTGTCACATGTGTTTTGAAAATGCAGGCTGAAGTTTATAGTGGTACATATTACCACTATATCATTCCTCTAGCTATGTTAAATGTCTTGTTTTTTTGCAATTAATTATAGAGGATGTGCTATGTGTGGAAAAATATCACAAAATGTTGGTTCTTCTCTGTCGCATGTGATGTAGGCACCATGGTCGACTGGCACAGAGTGTGTAGCCAAGTACAACTTCCAGACTGCCAACGAACAGGACCTGCCTTTCTGTAAAGGAGATTTACTGACCATCATCGGAGCCACCAGGGTAAGTGTGTGTGTGTGTATGTATGTATGTATGTATGTATGTATGTATGTATGTATGTATGTATGTATGTATGTATGTATGTATGTATGTATATAGCTGCCATACTGGCCAAATGTTTATTCAGAAAGAAAGGATGTTTTTGAATGTACTTCTTCATGAGGTTGTACAATTAAGTATATAGAATGATATGGCACAGTTTCTGTTTCCACAGTTATTGATCATGTTCTGAATACTGGAAATTTGCAATTGCAGTATTGAGGAAAAGAAAAAAAAAGGTGACCTTGCGGATTACAATCATGTCATCTTAAATCTGCAGGACTGTCAGGCAGGCAGCACCATTCTCAACCTACTTAATCTAAATGAATTAAGGTCATGACACCTCTCCCAC